CCCCATACCAGGTAAAGGAGGAGGGGGTGGAGGGGCTGGAGCTCCCATACCAAGTAAGGGAGGAGGGAAAGGAGGTGTAGCTGAAGGAAGAGCTTGAGGAGAAGCTGATGAAGCAGCAGTTGTGAAGGCGTCTTTGATGAGGTGCTCAGGTTGTCCAGGAGGACCGTCCGGTAGTCGAGTCTGTACCGCCCGGTCTATGGTCTGGACCTTGCGATTGGCTGAGAGGGATTTGTGGGGGAGGAGCCTCTCCAGCAGGCACTCAGCAGACTCTAAGTCGGCTATAAAACACACAGGATGTGCAGTGAGGACATTTTTGGACTTTGGACAAGTTCTGTAAAGCAAGCACAGTGAGTCTTGGTGGGGGTGGGGCTGTCCATTAGTTTTTGCAACCATGTTTTCATCTATGAATATACAGAGAGCATTTTACACGGCTGGATTACTACAGCAGCCTCTTTACCAGCCGGAACAAGTCCACCGACTCCAGACTGTACAGAACCCAGTATGTTTTACAACTGATTCAAATGACTTTAAGGCTCTACGAGGTCTCTCCACTATATCTCCGATCTTTTAGTATCTTACTTTGAGATGCTCGGGCAGAGGTCTGTTGTCTGGTCCAGGGGCCCGGCTGAGAGTCAGTCCTTCTTAAAACATACTTGATCTGGATTTTACTTGAACTTTATCTGGTTGAAATTCTCTTTATATGAATAATTTTATAACTTGTCCTTTATTTTGTTTTTTGTGAATCACTAATAAAGTGCCAATGGTGCTATAGATGAATGTTATTGTCATTTGCCAAGCCAATTAGACTGGGTATATCTCGTGGGCCCATGAAGACCTCTGAGGACAACATCCTGATAATTGATCAATTCTTACAGTTTTACCAACAGAGGAGATAGGAGTTAATAAGAGATGGGGACGCGAGTGGTACTCACACACAGCAACTTGAGACTCGACTCTGACTAAAGAACAAAATAAATAAACATAACTGCCAGTGATGAACCCGGACTTACGGTCCTGGGACAGCAGCGTGGCTCTGTCAGCCAGCAGCTCCAGAGCTAACCAGACCTCAGCTCTGTCCGGATCCACCAACAGCAAGGCCTGAAGGATGGACAGCAGCTGGACAGAGGACGGACTGCTGGACACCTGGACAGACAGGGAGGGGGAGGACAGGGACACAGAGATTGTATGGTGAATGTGAAGATGTTACTGTTGCAGGATCTCTCAGAATCTCTCTGCTTTGAGCAACCGCACAGAATCCAAGAGCATCAACAACTTGCTCTCCTGCTCAAACACTTTCACCTTCAGGCTCACGAGTGGTTTCTATTTCTGGCAGTAAGGGGGCGAAGACAGTCTTCATTGTCTCTAATAGAGAGCAGCCATACGTCACTTTCTGGTCCTCAGAACGACCACGCCTCCTTTTGGGTGAAACCAGCTGTAGAAGCTGCTGTGTCACATTTTGCCCATTAAACAATAAAAAAAAAAGACTGTTTACAATTTTCTTTACTTTCATAATCAATGAAGGACAGTAAAAGAAAAGATCTGTTGCTTTATTCCATACACAGTGAGAAAGTAACAGGAAGTGGAGATAAACCCTCCTGTTTTCTTCTTCTGTGGTAGTAAAAGGTAGATTAATGAACACAAACATTGGTTTACAGTAACGTCACATTGGACAGACAGACAGAAAAATGGGATTCAGTCAAGTTGTAGATGGTCTGTGCACTTTGACGAAGGCAGAGTGACTCATCGACCGCTATTATTTATTTTTTCTATCTAACAACGCCAATCATTGATCAGTGATGACACAACATCTCATATCTGCCTTACTTGGCTCCTAACAGCTGAAAATAAATACAGTATTCTTACTACTGCCAGTCCATTCAGAGGAAGTGCTTCCACCCAAAAGGGGGCGGAGTGAGCTGCTCTCATCTATATAAGGTAAGTGGTTACAGTTCTCTTCTTGTGCCTGTATGAGAGTATCTGAGAGATCAGCCTTCAGGGGGCGACGTACAGTGAGTGTGACTATCTATACATTATTTTAACATACACATATTTCATATATCAGATGTTACAAAAGTGTCTTCTTTCTCAGGGAACTGCTGTAAAGTAGGAAAGCGTTCAAATGTCTTTAGTGGGAGTTGGACGTTGATTTCCATGGCAACAGTGGCGTGGCGGCGTTGAAGTGAACATTACCTTGGTGAAGAGCGAGGTGAAGACCTGCTGGTGGCTGCTCATGTCGATGCCTCCGTACAGTCTCTCCATCTCCTCCTCGTCCTCCGTCAGAGAGTCCTCGAACGCATCACACTGGATGTTCAGGTCCTCATCCTCCGTCTCCCTGAAGACAGAGAGAGACACAAACTGACAGATATGTTGATTATTGATTATTGGAGAGATGTTTCAATAAATGCTTAATCAGTACCTCAGTCTGGGCAGCAGATCCAGCAGCTGCAGTCCTGTAACAACATGTTTCTGGTGAAAAAATGTTTGATTGTCACTTGAATTTGATTCTGCGGTCTCCATGGCAACAGAACGAAAACATGCCCCGCCCCCATTCCAACATATCCTCCATGTTCTCATCAACAGAGGGCGCTGGAGGAGCTTACTAATGACCTAGCAACCACTAGAACAACAATAATTGATGTAGATTAGCTAGTTAGCTAGCATTTTGCTAACATTAGCCTAGCATATAGCATATCTAAGCACAGGAAAGGAGGAAGTTCTGACTGAGGATAGCACAACATGTTCTTATGAGTCAATAAAGTCTATGACTGTTGTTAATATTATTCCTGTCAGTATTAGCAGTGACATGTTGTTGTGGTCGTACCGATGAACTCTTGCCGCAGGCGGTCCCTCCTCCTCAGGTCTTCCTGTCCCAGCACGAGGACATTGATGACGCTCATCAGCGTCACCATGTACGGGACGTTGTCGGTGCAGTGGAGCTCGTTCATGATCACGCTGAAGCGATACTGCTGCTTCTTTAGAGTCTGAACACAAACACACAAACATTCACCAAAACTCCAAAACTAAAGAGTTTCTGAAGAACATTCGCAGAGATATATCGCAGACATACATAGGTTTCAGTTACGCAAACCTAGTAACTGAAATAAAATACAGTAACAATAAATGTACTGTATGTCTTTAGTTCTTGTCAATTTGGTCAAATTAGTCAATACAACAACACGAGGAGGCGTTGGTTCATCTGTTCAGTCTGTTTGTACTGTAATACCTATTCTGACAATATCCCCCATATAATCCTACAAAACTAAAACTAACACTGAAACTAATAGAAATTAAACTGGAAACTAGAAACTAGAATAACTCCATCAGGTACTTTTCTTACCCAAACAATCTTACGCTTCATGCCCGAACCTAACCAACCAAACCAACCACGGCAATGAACACCAGCCAATCAGGGGCAGGGTAGGGCGGGTCTTTGTGGGAATGTCAGCACAAAAAAAAAAGAAATGAAGCTTTACGCAGGTGTAGGGGTGACTCACAGGTGGCGCTACCCAATAAGAAATACGGGTACTCACAGTATTGGTGGGTACTGACCCATTTCAGGCTCTGGTCACTAACCTGTGTCTGTGCTTCTGCAGTTATATATTAATCATATAAATAACCTCAAAGTCAGCCCAGAGGAAGTTGAAATATGGCCCCAAAACCTCCTTCATTGTCCAAATCAGCCAATCAGCTGCCTAGATATTGTCCATATAGCTGATTATTAATGCTAAAGATGCTAATGATTAATTAGCATAATTGTCCAACATATGCAGGTTAGCGTCAGTCAGTGTAACAGCTGGAGACCCAGACTAAACAGTTCTAACAGAAACCTTCAGGTACTGAGCAGTTCTGGTTCAAGTGAGGCTGTTGGCTGACTGTTGACCCACAGAGGACTTGGGCCAAACTCCAGAGAGCTGATAGCATCTCACTAGCACGACAGCAAAGGTGTTTGTTGTTATTTGAGAACTGATCATTAATATGATAAATCTGTTCAGGCAGGTAGATTTCTGACCCACCAGTCAAACTCCACTGATGTTGCTGTAGATTGTACAGCTCACGGTTTGTTCAGCAGGTATTTGATGAGTTATCTGTAGTTCTTGGCAGTTGCAGCTTATCTTCAGGAAGACGTGGACGGGCGGGTACGTTCTTGCCCACATGAAGTCGGTGAGGAATGGTGTCCCATCATGCCAATGAGTCAGAACAAGCGTGGGCGAGGTCAGGAACAAAGCTTATCTGCAGTCACACCCTGCTGTTCCACACTCACTGATTTCTGTTCCCTCTGCAGCCGATAGACTCGCTCTGATAAGCTTTTATTCAAATGTACAGCAGAGACGTTTGTGACGAACGGACGGACAGAAAGTGTAAAGCTAATAACATTTACTACAGCGAGCAGCAGGGTAAACACATCATAAACAACATCACACTGTGCTGATGGGTGAGGGGGGGACTATGTAAACCTGTGTACAATGAACTCTCTGTAGCCAACCTTGTAGTGGTCGAGGGCGTCCAGGCCCAGGCGGTGTCCCTGAGGGTCAAACAGAGTCAGAGCCGCCAACAGCTCAAACACCTGCACCTTTACCATGACGTTGGAGGTGTCCAGAGCTGAGGGACACACAGAGACAGAGACAGTCATTCACCTGTAGAACACCAGTGTGTAACAGATTCTCTGATACGTTATAGCTCCAGCTTCAGGATTTACAGACTAAAATCTAAAATCTGGAAGAAGGAAAGTTGGATAAAAGTCTGTCCATCTGTACGATCTGTGGGACAGATGTTAACAGCTGGTGGAGTCTGTGGATGCTAACACAGCTAGCACAAGCAACAACACACAAGACATGGATATTGTAGCTCATCTATGGAGAGACAGTATTTCTGGTTGAGGTCATTTGGAGGAACTCACCCTGGGTCAGGGTCCTGACGTAACCCTGGTTGTCCAGGATGAAGTGCAGTCCTTCAGACGAGTTCATAATGGCTCGGACGCAGGCGATGCAGGTGAGCTGCAGCAGCGCGTCAGCAATGCGAGCGCAGCCGCGGCCGGAGAGTCGCTCCAACGCCTCCATCAGCAGGTCCAGACCGCGCAGCTCCAGGAACTGAACCATCCAGGCCTGATCGCTGGCCTCCAACCGCCGCCGCAAACCGGAGTAGTTCACCACGGTGGGAACCTGAGGGAACGCAGCTGCTGGTTGGTTAAATAAATCATCATCACTGCACATTAACCTGTAGTCTACAGAAGGATGGGGGGGGGCAATATCAGTTTTATTCATTCATTATTGATTACTTCTGACATTAAAACGTTGGCGTCCTGCAGTAACAAAGCTCTTTACTTTCCTTTTGCATTTAAACCTGAAAACTTATTGATGTTGATTTTTGAAGAAGGATTTGAATATTGGCAGCTGCAGGCTCCCGTACCTCCACCAGGTGTCAGCAGTCCTACCTGCAGCAGTCGGATGCACAGTTCAGGGTCTGCGTTCTCCAGATTCGCCTCCAGTGTGGCGTCGGGGTCGTGGGCGGGGCTTCCCGTCAGGCGCTCCTTCACCGCCTCCCATTTTGTTTTGGTTGCCATAACAACACGAAGCTGCAGAGACGAGACTGAAGGTTTTTATTGATCTGAAAACAGCAATACGGGTGCTTGGAGTGGCCAAAAAGGACAAAAGATTTCTGATAATCACCCAAATAAAAAAGTTTGCATTATTTTATTGACATAAACATATTGAACTTTATGAGTTATGAGAACTGTTTGAGATAATGTCTGAATGGATTTCACTGAGGAGGAGTTCATTACAATAATTCAATAACAGAGAATATTTGAATCAGCTGAGACACTCACACACACACTCACACACACACACTCATTGTCCTCAGTGTGTGTGTGTGTGTGTGTCTGTGGTATTTCACTGTATAAAAGAGTCTTTATGTCGAGTTCAGAAAGTGTTCGTTCTACTTCCTGCTAACAGCAGCAGTTTCAAGCGTTACCGTGGTGACGGTGGCAGTTTGTGTTTTATTTATTGAGTTATTATTAGTTAGTT